AATACGGATAAAATCCTTTTTCCCAAGCCAGTCACAATTTTTTTTAACCACTGATGTCAACTAATTTTATATATGTTGATAGGGGGTGTGCGATAGACTTACCTCCACGTGGTGCANTGCACCACGTGGAGGTAAGTCTATCGCACACCCCTCCTTCTCCGAAGTTATTCAGGGCTACGCATGTGCTTATTCAAACGTTTTCAGGAGATTGGGAATGAAATTTGACAACGAGTATTAAATGAACGCATTAGTCACTTATGTGCACTAATTTAAAGAAAAGCAAATATTATGAAAAAAAATCAATTAATTTAACCGAACCCGAGTACAAATATAAAATTTCCCTAAATGACTATGTGGCTCTACCATCATAATCTTGAAATGAGAAGTGAGTTGGTTTTAAGTTTGATTATTGGATTAAAATTATTTACCGACTCAAGTTAGGGGACTAATAATTTCATAATTATAAATGATTTCTGCTTCTTGTGAGGCATTTATTAAGCATCAGGATTAGTGGAACGTATTACGCAAATTGTCTGCCAGCAGTGATCATAATCTCTAAAACAATGCGGGTATTTACTTTAGCCAGGTACAAAAACAAATTGCCAGGTATAAAACAAAGCTATTTGCATTTTTTTTGTTTTTTGTCTAGATATAATCAACATATTTTTAATGCAACAGCGGCGGCCGGGACAGTTAAACTCAGTCAAATGGGTACATTTCGCACAAAGAATTCAACACGGTTTTAAGTAAGCTCCAGTGCGTGCATGCGTGCGTGCGTGCGTACCTGGTCAGAAATCTCTGAAAATCGCAAACACAATCTTTTCCATGAAAAAAAGTACGCGGTGAATCGCATCCCTTACGAGAAATCAGTAAACTCAGTGACCATAATTCATCGCTAACTTATTTTCAACCCGGGGTGTGCGATAGACTTACCTCCACGTGGTGCACCCTGGGCAACGTATACTCATACGGCAAAAAAGTCTATTAACTGGCAGTTGACTTCTGACTTCAAACTACTACAACCCTCCTGGTTGTCATATTCGACTCCTTTCACAGTACTCACATTACCTTTTTCTCTACCTTTGTGTCTGTCTGTCTCTTTTACATCTGTGAATCGCTCTTCTGTTCCCCAACCCTCGACTTTCTTCTACTTTGATGAACCTTCCCTCTGTGAAGCCCGAAGTCAGCTAAATGGCTAATGATATCTACCAAAACGCCTGCCATTTGAAATAAATAAATTTTCAAGCCTGGCATAGTTTCTTCTCTCCTTAAAAATATTTGAACTTTCCCTTATCCAAATGCCTTCAGATAATTGGAGCCTGTAGAATCACCATCTTTGTACTCTCACATTCAATAACAATNACATCTTTGAATCACTCTTCTGTCCCCCCCCCTCTCGATTTTTTTCATTTTGATGTTCCTCTTCGTGAAGCCTGAAATCAACTAAAGGGCTAATGATAACTATCGTAAAGCCTGCTATTTGATATAAATAAATATATGTTGCTAGAGATCGTTTGATCTATAATTATAATGTTTGGTGGATGAATGAGAACATCTTATGCTAAATTTGAATTTTCATTATAACTGGGTTTGGGGTCAATGACCTCAAATTGGAGGGCAATAATAGTATCTATAATCTCATTTTCGATTACCTATGAGCCATCTCCATTCGTGGCCGTGTTCATTTTCTAAGAAACCTCAACATGTATGCCTAATTTGGTTTCATGAAGGATCTTTAGACACGCTCACTTCTTCGATTTTAGACAGTAATCAAGCTCACAGATGAGTTGAATATCTAATTCAGTAATGTAAGAATAAGCTTTTCAGTATCATAGTGATGGTTCTTCCATTGAGGTGTTTACTCTCAGCGCTGTCAGTTGAGTTANATTTATAAATTTAGCAAGTCCTTTAAGGAATTTACATTTAACGTTCGAAAAAGGGGTGTGTGATAGACTTACCTCCACGTGGTGCACCCTGGGCAACGTATACTCATACGGCAAAAAGTCTATTAACTGGCAGTTGACTTCTCACTTCAAACTACCATCACCTCACTATGTGTCCTATTCGACTTCTTCCATAGTACTCACCTCATATTTTTTCTTCTTTGTGTCTGTCTCTTTTACATCTTTGAANGAAGCTCCTCTTCAAGTGAAGGTCTTGACGGTCGATTCATTTGCTCTATTATGATCATAGATTTGTTCAATTGCTTCTTACACTATCTTTGCATGCAATTATGTGAGACCTTTAATTTTACTGGATAATTTCATGACCTTACAAAACAGCAATTAATCAATGAGTTCATGT